GCTAGAAAAGATTGACGAGCCCCAGAGCACGGTTAAAATTACGCTGCTAAAAGTTTTATTATCCTTAAAACGCATTTAATCCAGTACATTAATAAACCTCTGTAATGTATTTTATTCCTTTAAAGACTAATGGCCCCCATTTTGCTGCCGTGTACTGTACCGTAAATGCTATGGCTACAGGGCTGAAATGTTGCTTCATCACATGGCCCCACGAAAACATCACTCACGACATAATAGAAGGCTTGCAGCCATTCGTTGCCTGACATGTCTAAACATGTTGGCTGTGTTTTTACTGACATAAAATAGCACATTTGCTTAAAATGACACATTAACAAACAACTAACCAGTACATTAATAAACACCTGCAATGTATTTTATTATTTTAAAGACTATTGACCCCTTTGGTGCCATATGGTTTTACCTTGTAGGTCGTCGGACAGGCTATCAGTATGGTATATCAGCCTAGCGAATAATTCTAAATGCAGCTTACTAGTTCCTATTAAATGTAATTAAATAATAATGTCCACCTTCTTTTAAATAATAAAAAACAATATCCTAAATTCCTGGCCGTTGGTGACCTGGGCTATAAGAAAAACACACTTCTGTTGCTATAGTCCGCGCGCGTGTGGGATAATATACTTGAATTCTTTATTAATTATCATTGGTCAAATGCTTTATAACACATTTTATAGTTATTTTAAAATAAGAATTCTAGCAAAGTCTTAAAAATGCTTTTGATGTATGTTGATGCTTGCCGTTCAGTAGCTTCTACAGCAATTAAATACAACAGTGTTTGTCCGGGCGACCACCCACACACCAACCGACCGACCAAGACAGTGGGACGAGGCCTGTACACTCTGCCTTAATCATGTTGCGAGAATGTTACCCCGAGTCCAATGCTTACCCTGTCTCGCCAGCTGGCACTGTGCCCATGTCATCACCGTTAGAAAAAATGCCAGCAGTTTGTTCAAAAACATATTTTTTTTTCCTGATAGACTGGAGATGCAGGGGGTCGGTTACCCATAGTGCACTGCTTCTGCTGTCTCGCTTTTGAGGTGTCCCATCGCTGATTCGAACACACTTCTTGTGGTGTCTTGTTTTATGAAATCTGCAAAACTTTGTCTGTTAACTTCCATATCAAATCTTGAAGCAAAAGTTTTTACACAGTGTCTCTCATGCATGCTGGGACATATACAAATAGGCCAGACACGCTTGGATCATCGACACCACCTAATGTTAAGACACATGATGTCACGCCCTGCTCCATACGATCCTCGTGTGTGTCACGCCCACCTCGTTACCTCATGTTATTTCCTAATTGTTATCACCTGTTTCTTATTTGATTTTGACTTGTCTTGTGTATTTAGTCCACGTCTGTGTTAGTATCCCCAGTCCGGTCATTGATGTTGTGTTGTAGCGTGCTTAGTGCTCAGATTAAACCCTGTGTTCCTGATCCCTGGCTTCCTACCTATTTGTCTACGCTCCGGGCGCTTACGCGATCGTAACACATGAATTCAACCCTAAGACTTATTGTCTAGGTAGCTCACATACATTATATCAAACAGTATATTAAAACAGTACATTTATGTTAAAGATAATTATTTCTAGTTTACAATGTTAGTAGACAGTGACTATTTTCAGTACGACAGTGCGGCATGCTGGGACATATGCAAATAGGCCAGACAGCACTTGGCTCTTCGATGCCACCTTATGTCAAAACACATCAATTCAGCCCTAAAATTTATTGTCTAGGCTGTTCACATACATTGTATTAAACATTGTATTAAAACAGCACATTCATGTTAAAGAGAATTATTTCTAGTTTAAAACATTAGTAGACTGCGCCATTTTCAGTACGACAGTGCGGCATGCTGGGGCATATGTAAATAGCCACCCCGCTTTATGGGTTAATGCCGTACGCTCATTTTAACAAGGATTACCCGCGTTATTCCTTGATTCTTGTTGTCGAAATGCTTAGGGCGCTTTACTTTATTATTCACATGGGCAGAAAAGTGCTTCATTACTTAAAAAACATTATGGTTAAAGGGTTTATTTGAAATAAGAGGCACCCCGTCGGTACTGCCATTTTGAAATGGGATGTCTGTGTGAGTGCATAAGCGCCAAGTGCTGCCCCCCACAGACAATCATTTGACACGCAACTTTTGAACAGGCCGGCAACATGTCGGGTTTGCTCCATTGCGGAATAATGGCCGCCTTGACCCCGCTGTTTGTGCAACATCGTGGGAACCCAGATCTTCGACCTATCGATGGATCTTCGCGTTTGATGAAATACTTTTTATATTTTACATTGAAATAAAACTGTTAAACTGATTACGGATTTTTCTCGTTTTTTAAAACTTGGGCTAAAATATTTCTGCTTGTTTCACATTTGTTCTTTTGACAGTGTTTCGCTCGGGCATGCCTCTACTTGTTTAAATTCCACCTGCTTTTCTTTTTTAAAAAAAATAACACTAAAGTTTTTCTTGTTTAAACATTTTGGTGCTTTCTTCTTTTAAAATACGCCAGGCGCTTGTGTCTACTGCGGAAGGAACTAGAGCCCGACGTGTATGCGCTAGCTTACATTCATCCTGCTATATGTTTTATTATTCCTTAAAACGTAACTAAAAATAACACATTAATAAATACATGTAATGTATTTTTATTCTATTAAAGTTTAACGGTAACCATTATCTCCCCAAACCATACTGCCCCTCAATCGGCAACACGCGGCATAAGCATGTATGATAATATATATGGACAAAACCCTTGACCACTCAGAACACGGGATACGCCTCCTCCCGCTTATGACGTCATAGACAGAGCTCCGCCCAAAGTGCCAACTAATATTTTATTTTATAAATCTTCATAAAGTGTATTGCACATGGTATTCCACAGAGACTGCCACCACAGCAGATGCTTTTCTTGTTATGACGATAGCTCAGGAAGTGGTTGATGGATCTTTTGCAATGTTTACAAAGGTTTGTACAAACTAAAACTGATTAAATTTTGAAACAGATCCCTGCCACACCCTGCCCGCCTGAACCTCTTGTTTCCTTTCTAGTGTACAGTAGCATAACGAACAACGCCTGTTCCGTGTTTGTCTTACCTCTTCTTCCTGTGTTACTCCAGCTGCCTCTCATTTGCTCCCTTGTTATCCTTGTATAAACGTGCTTCTCTGTCCTGTCATTAATGTTGCTGCTCTTGTTTGCCTGTGTGTTCTTCACTTCTTATGATTCCCCCGTGATCCAGTTATTTTCTAGTCTGTTACGTTTTTTGTAATAAAACCCGTTTTGTTTGCCTTCATTATACTGTAACAGTCGCCCTTTGCTATAACATAAAATGCCAGACACTTGTGTTCGATATCTCTTTGGGAGCCAGTAATTACAATTCCAATTAATAGCAGAATGGCAAAAACACACCTGAATGAGTCAGTCAAACAAAATATGACACTTAATAAAAAGAAAATGTGTGTGCAGATATGTTAAGCATTACTTGTCAATGGACTTTTGATATGAAACCAATAACTTTGCAAGCGTCCCAAGACTTTTTGTGAGCATTACAGGGAGAATTCTCCAATGTCACGCCTCCCTCCCGGGAAACCCCACATCGCATTAGCCACGCCCGCCTGGGAATTCCAGCCAGTCTAGAAAGTCCCGTTCAGTCCTCATCAATAGTTTGCCAGTGTTTTGTATTTTTACTCCCACTTTTTTTTCCAGCTGTTGCCCATTAGTTAGTTACTTCTCCTTCTATTTTAGTCCCCGGGGTACTTTTCCAGCGCAATCTTCTTCATTTGAGAGTTAGTGAGGTTCAGTTTCTATATGCTTTACCTGTTTTCTGTGTTCTGGTGAATCTTGAGTTTCACCAGTGGAGGGGAATGTTTGAAGGGTTAAATCTACCAATGACCAACCAGTTATCTATTATAGCTCATAGGTGCATCTCATGAACCTTAATTTGTCAAGCATGTATTGACAGGACACAACACTTTCTGACAATAGAGTGATCCCTACTCCCCATTCCTCAACCCGATTGAGGGGCTCTACTCAGCATGGAGGTGGAAGGCTTACAATCGCCAGCCACATACTCAGATTAACCTGCTGGCTGACATTGATGTAGCATGTGAGGACATCACAGCAGATGCCTGCAGAGGCAGATAAGACATTACAAAACATTCTTTCTGTGCTGCTTTGCAAGAGGAGATATCCATTGTGATGTGGATGAAATTCTGTGGCCTGATGGATGGGAACGTCAGTACGTGTAAAAAGACTGCACTGTAATTCTCTATACAGCACCTAATGTATAGTTCTGCTTTAGTGCTGTTTCCTCAATTTGCATTTCTAGTTTTTAAATGTTTTCCCTTTATGCTATGCAGTGCTGTAAACCAGTCTTGTCTTTTATTTTCTGTATCGCAATGACATGGTCTGTCAATAACTTACAGTACATACAGTAATATGTAACTTTGTACTGTTGAAATTGATATATGCACTAGGACTGGTTTGAGAAACACTGGTCTCAGATTGATAACAAGAGACTGAGACTGTGCTGAGCTTGTCTGAGGGAGATGATTAGCAAATGCTCTCACAGTGTCTCAGCACTCTATACAAATAACTATATTGCTCAGAATCTGTTCCTATTTATCTAATTATTCTATTTATCTAATTTGGTATGTAATTGTTATCATTTTAACTGGCTGTAAAGGAGTAAATTAATAAATATCATGTAAGTGCAGGTTATAATTACTTTTCGCTATTACTTAAATTCCTGTGTGAACAGCCAATCAGATCAGCCTGATATGTATCTTGTACCTCTCTGTTTCCTGCCCTTTCATCCCAACCACAACCATGACCTCTCACTTAGCAGTAGAGCAGTTTATTCTAAACAAGTGGAACCACAAAGATGTTCAGACTCTTTGGTCTTCTCATTTTCATTAGTAGGGTCCTAAAATATTAAATAGTAATTTTGGGGGATTTTAATATTTTCATATATCCTGTATAATGTAATTAGTGTAATAAGCATTTGGCCATTTATTCTTCATCATACATAATAGTTATTCTGATTACTATTATGATATTTGTCTTATTTGTTTGTTTATTCATTTGTGTTTCTCTGTTTTTCCAGACACTGCACTGGCTGTGGATGTTGTTCAGCCCAGTCTCTTGATGAGGGTTCAGCTTGGAGACAGTGTGACCCTGACATGCTTCTGTCCAGAATATGTTTCTTTTGCTGTTTGGTTTAAGCAAGCTGTTGGTCAGAAGCCCCAGCTCATGGCGAAAGCACTTCGCTACTCATCTGCTGAATTTTACAAGGAATATAAAAACATAGAACGTTACTCCTTACAGATTGCAGAGGAGAGTTTTAACCTCACTATTTCCAACGTGGAGCCGTCAGATTCTGCAGTGTATTACTGTGTTGCTGTATCCTATAATGAAATTGCATTTGGAAACGGAACCTTTGTCATAATCACAGGTAAATGAGACTCCAACTATTTTCATATTAAAGTGTCAATAAGATTGTCCCCTGACAAACATTTCTGACAGGTGAGCTGTGTGCCAATATAAAATTAAGAAAGATAGTTGATGTGGATTGTGTGCTTTGGTCCATCAATGTTTTTCTAAACAACATAAACGAAAATATTTTTTAAAGTTTTGCAATTAGAATTACAATGTTTTTTATCATTGTTACGCACAGAAATAGCTGAAATATGTAAAAATAAATATACAGGATACAAATTAATAGGAGGCAAGTGTCATCTTACTTATGTGGATTTTAGTTATGAGTGTAATGTTAAATATAATAATTATTAAACATAAATATATGATATACATACATATACAAAACCTAGAGAAGACTGCGGCATAATGTGACATGTGCCTTTATTTATGAAAACACTGCACAGTAACTGTACTGATGAAACAGCGGGATCCTGGGGTTATGTCAGTGTCTGGCTCAGTGTGGTAACGGCCCGGGGAGAGAAGCTGTTCCCGCCATAAATATGCTCATAGGAAAAGCTGAGTGTCTCTCCTCAAAAGTTAGTGTTGGCTGCAGTGACTGCAGTTTCTAACCTAAGAAATATCCCAAACTCTTTTACTGCATCAAAAGTCAAACTAGTCCCTATTCCTGTCATGAAAGCTTCACATAATGTCAGTGTTACCTGAGCCAACCATGTTTATCAGAGGATGCCAACCCTTTGGCTGCAGCTTCCTCTGCACATGCTGAGAGAGTCTTCAGTGTAGCAGGAAAAGATTTCAGGACAGAATATTGCAAATTAAACAATAAATACTTTGCAAATATTATGCTGACTAAATAAAATATTAATGAAATATTAGACATGTTTATTGGAATAAAGCATAATTGCATTTGCCATGACATTTTGCTTTTTGCCGTAGTGCTGTGGTTGAACAGAATAACGTACTTTTCTACGCATAAGAAAATAAATAGGAGCAACTACATGAAACCAAGTAATTCCTTTTAAATTCCTTTTGCTATGTATACTTCTTATTTAGTGTTAAAAAAGAGACAAACTATTAATCAGCAAACAGTCAATATATTTGGCTCTTGAGTCAAACCATGCAGGTACTACAGCAGAATCCTCAAAAATACTAACACCCATCAACAGCTAAATACGCAAAAACAATAAATACCATCCATCCATCCATCATCTTCCGCTTGTCCGGGGTTCGGGTCGCGGGGGTAGCAGCTTCATTAGAGG